CAGAACTTATATTTGGTAAGGATATTAGAATAATCCAGAACTTATAATTGGGAAGGATATTAGAATAATCCAGAACTTATATTTGGGAAGGATATTAGAATAATCCAGAACTTATATTTGGTAAGGATATTAGAATAAACCAGAACTTATATTTGGGAAGGATATTAGAATAATCCAGAACTTATAATTGGGAAGGATATTAGAATAATCCAGAACTTATATTTGGGAAGGATATTAGAATAATCCAGAACTTATAATTGGGAAGGATATTAGAATAATCCAGAACTTATATTTGGGAAGGATATTAGAATAATCCAGAACTTATATTTGGAAAGGATATTAGAATAATACAGAACTTATATTTGGAAAGGATATTAGAATAATACAGAACTTATATTTGGAAAGGATATTAGAATAATCCAGAACTTATATTTGGGAAGGATATTAGAATAATCCAGAACTTATATTTGGGAAGGATATTAGAATAATCCAGAACTTATATTTGGGAAGGATATTAGAATAATCCAGAACTTATATTTGGGAAGGATATTAGAATAATCCAGAACCTATACTGGGAGAAAACTGCTAGCATATGGATTCATGAAATGAATTCAGTAAATATACAAAAATAGAAAAAGTTGTTAGACAAGGATGTGTTTTTCTCACTAGAGTTATTCAACATTTACAGTGTAGTGATTCTGAGATAATTAGAAGTCCTACCAGGATTCATTATTGGAAAGTACTAAAAGAAAATGTCAAGAAAGGACTAAACTTCAATTATAAGAACATAAAATGTATGGTTGTTAGCAAAAAGAAGAGCCCAAGATGTGAATTACTAAATGCAGATGTTAAAATCAAGCCAGTAGAAACATTTTAATGTCTAGGAAATATTCTAATGGAGATCAGAAAATGAGAAAACAAAATCTGAAGGTACATTGGAACAGCAAAAGATGCCTTCCAAAAGCTAGACAAAATATTAAGAAACAGTGAAATCTTGAAATTTCAAAGGCACATAATGAGGAAAGAGGGGTTGGAAAATTTGACACAAAGGATATATTGATGACAAGAGGGACAGAGGGAAGCAGCAAGTAACCTACCTAACAAGTTTGTGTAAATGGATATCAGAACAAGGAGTGGAAGAGATGGTGAAAAGGATTGGAAATTATTGAAAGCCATGAAACACAAGCATCCACTGTGAAACTACTCTATAACACTATATCGCTTCAGGAAGTATTTGACAGTTATGCTTTATCTTTACAAGAGTCAGATTAGACCAGAAATTGAGCATTGCTGCTATATCTGGTCTAGAGATGTTTCGGCTCAGTCTATCGCTCCAGAAAGTGCCTGACTCCTTCTGTTATGCTTTATCGTTACAAGAGTCAATTTAGACGAAAACATCGACTATTACTACCCTGTATGAACTGGAGCTGCTCAGTCCTCACTTTCCGACCTCAAGTTCAAAATCGCCTACGCGGTATTGTAGCGAGTGGAGAAGACGTATTCTCTAATCTTTTTCACAGACGAAACATGGGAAGATTATCGCTAATCTATTGCAATTCCCATGCTCACATTCTTTCGTACCACCAGTTCAGACCTTTACAGCCAGGACACGCCATATGGAACAGACTCTCGTGTGAGTAACTCCTTTAATACTACAATTTTAACCTCTTCAAGTCAAGAGTAAATCGTTATCTATCCACCTTATCCTTCTACCACCTCTTACTTTTATATCACACGTCTTGTTCATCATTACCATTTTCACGACGCCTCTCTACATTAAGTGATCCCCAAGCCTTGTACTAAGTGAAATTAATTACAGAGCAACCTCGGTTCTCGAACATCTCACCTGTCAAACAAATCGGTTTTCGAACAGAAATTTAGAGATGAAAATGCCTCGCTAATCGAACAAAATTTCGGTTCTCGAACAACATAGCCGAACTGAGTTAACACGAACGTAATCATTTCTGAGTCGACTGCAGTGTTGTAATCACTCGTGTGTTGTGCTGTGCTTTTCTTTTCCAATCTTATTGTGCTGTGACTTTTTTCTCTACATTGATTCCTATTTGAAAAATAGTTTCGGTTTACAAACATTTCGGGTTACGAACGGCCTTCAGGAACGAACTAAATTCGTGAGCCGAGGTTCCACTGTATTTTGAAGTTTGGTCGTTAAAATGCTGAATTTGAAAAATAGCTAGGGCGGAGAACTTTTCTGCACCTTTATGTTGATCAGGCTAAGCATTACGCCTACGGCTGTACCTGATGCTAGAATGATAACATACACAAGGGAAATTGTGTGTGTGTGTGTGTGTGTGTGTGTGTGTGTGTGTGTGTGTGTGATATGATGACCTGAGTTAATTACCTCGGGGTAAGTCAAGGTCTGAACCTTGAAATGATTGGATGTCATCCAAAAACACTCGACAGGATGTTGTAGCGTGGTCATTGCATCCCAGACGCTGAAATCAAAAAGATATCAGTACGGCCTCCTAGGAGTACAGAGTAGACGAAGCCAAACGGAGATTCGCACGCCGATGACATACGCTCCCTGAATCTAGTGGAAAAAACTCTCGTCTTGAACGCGTGACGAGGCAATGACTTCTGCTTTTAAGTTGGAATTGAGATTAACTGTGATTTCTTCCTCTGCTCAGCCAAATGATCCGATCGTCCTTGCAATCATCACAGAACTACAATGAGAAATGAAAAGCAATAAAGTTTTTAAAAAACTGCTAAAGAAGTTTTTTTGCCATTGTCTATCTTTACAAGAGTCAGATTAGACCTGTTTACATCAGTGGCCCCCCCCCACACACACACACACTGTACACGCAACTTCCTTATACAATGTGAGATGGGTAAATTGTCGCCATTTTATATTTTTTAATTTTGTGCCTATCAGTCAGTTATGTGCCATGCCTGATACACGCTTAGGCGATCATGTATCCTTCGATACATGACTGACAAGGCAGATTTTTCCCGCAGCAGGTTGCCATTTCTTTCGTACATATGCGTTGTTTATTTTTTATTTTGTCGATTGTACAATATAGTAGGATCAGTTGGACACCGTCTGTGAGAAAAAGAGACCACGAGACAATTCACTCCGTCAGAAATTTGGAAACGACATGCTGTACTGCTTGGCATTCGCACCGAGAGCTACAATACAAACATTTCAGTGTGTGGGTGTCAATCTGCGGACAGTGCAGAGGATTTGAAACGAGTTGGATGAGTTTAATTGTGATTACGAAGGTGTTTGAAGTTATCACTAGTTATGACTCCATTCATCTTCCCACACTGCCTCTGACTCAACAAGGAGGACTACATAAAGTGCCTTAAGGAGGTAGTGCTGCCCTGTGTCAAGAGGGTGGCTGCTGGAAAGAGTTGAATGAGTCTAATGGTGATTACAAAGATGCGGTAGCTCGGAAAACTCACTCTGTTTTGATAACAAAAGAAGCCCCGAATTTGTTGGTGAGGGCCTTAGATTCAACGCAGAAGGCCTACATCAAGTGCTAACCTGGGTCAAGAAGGTCGCTGCTGGAAGATCCTATGTCTGGCAACAAGACTCTGCACCATGCCAAACAGGAGAACCCAGTTATGGCTGTCAGACAATTCCTCACATCACCCCTTACATCTGGCCACATAACTCCCCAGACTGCAATCCCCTTGGTTATTATAGTGATTTTCTAAGCATAGCTTAGATGTGGCACAAGGCCGAAATTAGGGGCCGCCCAGTGAGAATCGAACTCACTACTCAGTCGTAATTGTTCTTGCGAGACAAGCTTGCTAACAATTACACCGCCTCGAGGTGCCCCACCCAATTGGTTATTATATGTGGGGCGCAGTTGATCGAGAGTCCAACAAAACTCCTTGTAACACCAAAGGTGAACTGAAGACAAGAATTATGGCAGTATTCACCAACCAAGAAAACCGCCCAGAAGGGGTCCGAACTCGTCTGGAGTCCGTGGTAGAAGCCAATGGCGATTTTATTGAATAAATTTATTTTTTACTATTTCAATACATTTTGTGTAATTTTGGTAAATATGTCTGTTAAAATGAGATGTCAGTAATTTTGCGTAATTAAGACAACAATTTATCCATCGCATCCTTTATATGTTTGTGGACGGCTTGTTAGATTAGATTGTCGGTGTTCGAACACTTAAAAAGTACAGAATTTTGAATGTTTGTCTCGCAATTGAAGTATCCAGCAAGAAGGCCTCTGATCACGTAGTTGGAGGTTTTCAGGAAAACGGAACGACTTTTGCTCCTAGATTGATCCTGACCCGGGGGTGATTGCATCTGTTATTCGCAGTTATGGGCAAATAGGGAACCTCTAAACAAAAACACTATGAAAGTTTAAAAATACATTTTTGTAGTAAAAATACCAGCAATGCAATTTTATATGAAAAAATGACCAAGAGTACATACTTTATAGTAGAATGAGCAGTAATACATTTTACAGTAGAATTACCAACAATATATTTCATAGTAAAATGACCAACAATACGTTTTATCTGTAGCTGAAGCCATAACAATGTGTTCAAAATATTTAGATTTCGGCATTAAATAACCCATACGGGTTGATATGCCGCTAACCAAACCAAACCAAACCAAACCAAACCCTATTGATGAGAAATGTGACACATGGATAAGTTTAGTACCAGATGCACCCAAATTAGTATGTGAGTGGACACGATGATGCAACGGATTGAGAAATCGGAGAGCCGAGTTCGAATTCCAGTTGAGTTCATTGCATTCATTTAGGTGCTAATACCCTTGAATGATTCTAGAACAGATTCAGCTTTGGTTGGCAGCCAGTCTAGAAAAAGGGAAACTCTAAATTCAAACCAGCCTGTTGAGGGTTGTGCTTCGTCAGACTGTCTTGCCCAGGAAACACCACTGCTACAGTAGATGTAGCGCCCCTACAACTCCCAGGGGCTATGAAACTTTTAAGTAAATAAATTAGTATGTGAATTGTACCAAATATCGTCTCATTAATATTGGTGAGTGTCAAGATGTACCTACTGACGCAACTCCTTTTTAATGTAATGGGAAGGTGCTGCCAGACAGGTAGAACTCCAGGAACTTATCTGTAACTTTTAAACATTTGCTTCTTCATACTTTATTTTATCTATGCTTTGTTGATTTAACGACTTGCCGTGAATGTCTCCCAAATATTTTTTTTTATTTATTTTAATTTATTTGGTTATTTATTTCCTTGTTTTCACTCCTGTTTGTGATTTGCTTAGGATAACGCGAATAAACATCGAAATATTACCCATATTTCTTGTTTTATTAATCGACGTATCCATTATATAGATATTTGTTTTAAGGAGTTAACGTCATACTTTATATTTTAGCTTCAGTAATGTTATGTGGTCCCAGGGCAAGTTTTTTTAAAAAGAAAAGCGTCTATTGAAACCAGCTATTTAAAATTATGAAAGAGTAGATGGGACAAACATTTTCTGCTACTCAAACAAATGATGTGGAACTAGACTAAATCGAGTACACTGATTCTTGTCCTTGCATGTCAAGCGTTTTAGATATGTGCATAGCATATTGATTTTCAAGGTAAATATATTAATAGGATATTGCTAGTATATATAAAATAAACTAACTGGTCACTTAACTAAGTAAGCATTACCAAATGCACTTTTACTTAAATTTCTAATCAACCAATGACATGACTGCAATTTAATACATATAGATATTTAAACATGGCAATATGCTGAATTTTATTTCATTAATTGCTGTCGGGAAAAAAGTGATTTGGGTGACTTTGAAAGTGGCATGGTTGTTGATGCCAGACAGACAGGTCTGTGTATTTAAAAAACTGCTGATCTACTAGGATTTTCACATACAACCATCTTTAGGGGAAGGGAAACTTTGAATTAAAGCGATGGAACAGTGGTCCAATGGGTAAAAGCGTTAGGTTTGGGAATCCTGGATCAGGCAACGTGTACTTGCGATCAATAAGATAAAAAATAAGAATTAAACTATATCTCTAGGCATAGATAATGAAACGAGAACAATCTAACCACGTAGATTAAATAAAAGGTTCAGTTCAGAATTCCCTGTAGGCTACCCAGATCGATATACACCTGATGAAGACCGGAGGACACATCGGCCGAAACGTTGTGATAAAAACAAAAAAAGACGGGGACAATAGTCTAAATATAGGTAGTGTAAAGCATCTCTACGGTTTACAGAAAATGATCAGATAAAGAAAGAATTTCAGTGTGCATCATTTCTGTAGTCGGAAATTCCTTGTTAATGTTCCGGGCAGAATAGCCAGACATGTTCAAACTGACAGAAAGACAACAGTAGCTCCAATAACCACTCTTTACAACAGTATTATACAGAAGAGCATTTCTGAACGTGCACGTTAAACCTTGAAACAGACGAGCTACAGCAGTGGAAGACTACACCGGGTGCCAGATAAGAACAAAAAACTGAGGTTATAATTTATCAGGGTCACAAAAATTAGAAAAAACGTTGCCTGGTCTGATGAGTTTCGATTTCTGTTGCGACATTTGGAAAGTCGGTTCAGTATTGGTAATGATATTTTCTTAGAGTAGACTGGGGGCCTTGGTACCAATAAAAGATCGTTTAAGTACCACAGTTTACTTAGGTATCGTGTCTGATCATGTATCTCAATTTATGACTATGAGGCAACCATCATTTTGTGACCACTTCCAACAGGACAATATACCGTGACACAAATAAAAACAAAATAGTAGAAGATTGATTCATGGAACAGAGCAAAAAAAGTTTTCTGTGTCTAAATAACCACCACCGTTACCGGATCTTAATCCAATCGAGCACCTTTGCGATATTTTGGAAAAGAAGTTTCTAATCCTGGAATATATGGAATCCAGCCAATACACAAGGGTAGTTATTTACATTGTTCGGACTCTTATCCTTATCTTTGTTGCCATATTCACGACATTTCGGCTGTTGTACGCCCCGGCCTCCTTCAAGTGATTGGAACTGAACTCTTTATTTCGTCTATCGGGGTAGATTGTTCTAATTCCACGTACCATGCCTCTGTCAGATGTCTCAATATCAGTTATCTCCCTTTAACTCAGCCGTCCAGGTATTGATCTTACAACTCTTAGGGTCAAGTCACTGGATTCAACCAACGCTTTTATTCACTGGGTCATGTGTCCTTGATTACACATGGGCCAGTGGATAAAAGGGTTCAGTTCGAAATTTCAAAGAAGGCCGGGACGTACAACGGCCGAACCATCGTGAATATGGGAATGAAGATGAGGACAACAATCTGAACAATGTAATGTAAATAATTACAATACCTCTTCTCAGAAATATAGACAGATACTACAAGAGTAAGTAAAAAAAAAAAAATCCGCTTTCGTCAAAACATATCTTTGGGTTTGTCTCACGGCCTTCTACTCATGCGTGCTCATAGTTAGTACTATTGTGGTCACATAATCGAAGTTTGAGCTTAATCATGCCAGTTTTCATGCCGCTGTTACAGTGTAAACATGTCCGCTCCGCTAGCAGTGTTCTACCTTAAACAATGTTAGATTTTCCCGTGATATTATCAGTCTGGTGCGCTTTTGATCAGGTGTCACAAGATGTGGAATCCACCGAGCAGAAACCTTTGTCATGCCAAGTTCATTGTGCAGAATATTCTCAACTCTCTCTGGAGGTATGCTAATATCAATAGGTATTTGATAGTCAATTGCCTGTCAGCCATCATCATGTGGTGAACACGATCAATGTTTTCCTCGTTGGTAGCAGTTACGGGACGGTCTAGACCTTTGGGTCATCTTCATGACTCTCCCTTCCACTCCTAAATTCAGCTACCCACTTTTGCACTTTTTCAGTGTCACATTTTTCGTAATCTATTAAAACACTTCGTAGATATTTAAAATTTCCTAATTGCTTGATTTTTGTGTGAAATGATCCATATTAATCTATTCCCGAACCATGTGTAGAATAACAATGCAATAAACAGCACTTACTGGCGTAAGGGTCCCAGCTAGCGTCCAGCTGGCAGACAAAAATAAAGCAGGTTGTAACTCTGCAAACTAACTGATGAATCAAGCTGGTATTTATACAGAAATACTTCCACTCATGTACCAGCAGCCAATCACAGCCCAAGCAATGGACTATACCACTTTAGCACAATGAGATGCTCCATGGCACCATAAATAATTCACTCAGCTTGCTCCACAACTGAGTGTTTATCTTGACCGCGTGATTGTTCTACACCATGTAAATGCTTTGACGCAAATATATGTGAAAAATATTTACTTATCTTCGTTACAAGTAAATGCTTTCAGTCGGAAGTTCTGTGATGAGGAGTTATCATTATTTACATGTAGACTATTGTTCCCATCTTTTTGTTTTGTTATCACAACGTTTCGTCCGTTTTACCCTTCGTCCTTCATTTAATCTACAGGTTTAGACTGTTCTCATCACACTGCCCATGTCTATGAATATAAGTCTAATTCATATTTTGGAGTCCAACTACACACCGTTCGACCCAGGGATTGAACTAACAATTACTATACCGCCAAATTCACGAACCACTGCTATAATCCAGTAGGCTTTAATCCGCTAAAAAATTCTGTCTGGAGAACATGGAGGCTTAAACCTAACCTGCCTGCTGGTGAGTGCTGCGGATGCTACCTGTCATGCTTAACAGCGCTTACCGAAACTTGAGTGCCCTCAAGAGATTGTTACAGCTGCTGATGTTGCTGCTGCTACTGTTAGAGATCTCCTGTCATTCTTTGTTTATTTGAAACAAAAATACAAACAAGCCCTTAATAGTTAAATTACTAAACAGGACCAATTTCATCTGCAAGAAAACAATACTTGTCTACTGTTGGTTTGGTTTATCTTGTTTTACAGCATATCAACCTGAATAGGTTAGTTAACACCGACGAGATTTTTAGAATACATTCGTACGAATAGAATATGTACTCTTTGCAAGTTTGTAGATCAGATTTCATTAACATATTTTTGTAAAGAATGTTTTTGTTGAGAGTCAAATTTGGTAATTTTTTAAATATTGCTGGTATCTTTTTAAGTATTGCTGGTAATTTGTTTTTTAAAGTATAGCTGGTATTTTTTAAAGTATTGCTGGTAAATTTATTTTTTCAAAAATATTTTGTTGGTATTTTTTACTATAAAAATTTATTTTATTACTTTCATAGTATTTTAATCCCAGTTTGGGGGTTAACTATTTGCTCATAGTTGGACCTTTTACTACCCCAGGTTAGGGTGGACCTGGGAACAACAGTAATTAAGAGGTGGTGCTACGTTCCTCAAAACCTCCTGATCAGAGGCCTTGCTTCCGGGTGTAGTTTATCGTCATGCCCAGAACGACCAGTCTTCTGTTGGTTACCTAGGCATATCGGCATCCGCGGAAATGGAAACGCTGACATGGAAGCAAAGCAATCCCTAAAAATGAACATTTCAAATTTGAAAATCCCCTATACAGATTTCAAATAGACTCGTACATTCTATACAAGGGCTAAAAGTTATGGAACTACGACCCAAAGAAAATAAAACCTATTCTAAGAGAATGGAACCATGATCTCAGACTTCTTTGGAAGCCTATGTTATATTTGCAGAATAATTCTTCTTAAGTGTACTCTTGATGCTGATCATTCGCTGTTGGTCACAGCTTATGATTATTGCTCGGTGTTGTAGGCTTTGGACGATCCATTTCTTCCTAATGTATGGATGCTGTGATTGAAATTGGGGTATTATCCAGTGAAGGTTGGCTTGTAATACACGGATGTCTTGAACACATTCTCTATGCGAGATTATTAGTACATACAGGAAGGTTAGCTGTTTATTATTTTCTTCTTTCATTGTGAACTGGGTCGAAGGTCTTATTGAGTTCACATAGTCCAGCAGTATTTGTACAACTTACTGATGAAGACAGGGCATGAAGGTGATGGCTTCAGTTATGATGTTCTATAGCAATTTACTTGAAGTATTCCGTCACTGGTGACAACGGTGAACCCATTGCCAAGCATTCTTGCTGTTGGTATACTTCAGAATATAGTTGGAAGATGTCTGTACACAGAACATCAGCATTTCTATCATATTATCTACTGGATTGTTAGTAAGTTCTCCAAGGGAAGAGGGGTTTAATTTCAATCGATTTCGAACCACCGTCAGGGACTCATCTCTAGGAACTCTGGGTAACAGACTCACCACATCCAAGCTTCGATTGCTATGGATGTGATCAATTTCACAAAGTGTTCAGAGTTCATGAGAAATGATGAGGACTTTCCCGCTAGTTGGTTGACTATATCCAAAAGGAATCTGCCCAGCGGATGACATGTCGAGGCCCTGCAACTGACTATAGGTCCCGATGGAATATCACAGCTGACCATAGGTCCCAATGGAGAGACCATACACATGTGAGAAGCCTGATGTAACTTTGAGTCAACTGCCTAAACTTATTCAATGTGAAGTAATTCTTGTTCTTATTTAGGATCTGTGACAGCTTCATCTCATTTTTTAGGGTAGGGTCCTTTTTATTCTACGCACCCGTCTGTAGCTCTTAATCTTTATATATTTACCTACCTTTTGCCCCCACTACTTTCTCTGATTCTCCACCTACCCTCTCTCTTTCTCTTTCTTTCTTTCTTTCTTTCTTTCTTTCTCTCTCTCTCTCTCTCTCTCTCTCTCTCTCTTATTTATTTACTTTTAGCTTTTGTGGCGAATCTCGTTTCAGTCTCATTTACTCACCCGATTTAGTTCTCTCTCTCTCTCTCTCTCTCTCTCTCTCTCTCTCTCTCTCTCTCTCTCTCTCTCACTAATTTTCTTTCCCTGTCATTTTCTTTCTTTATTTCTCTCTTTCGGCCATTCTTTGTCTCTCACAGTCTATTCAATTTTATCTCGAATGTCTCTCCCTATTAACATCTATTTTACAAACGCAGCCTCTCTCTCTCTCTCACTCTCTCACTCTCTCTCATTCTATCTCTAGCTCTCTTGTTTTCACCCCTTTCATTCTATCAATTTCCCCCTTCTGTTTCGAAACTCTTCTCTCTCTCTCTTTCTCTCTCTCTCTTTCTCTCTCTCTCTCTCTTTCTTTCTTTCTTTCTTTGAACTTTTCCATACCTGTCTTCATATTTTTTTTACCTAAGTCGTGTTGTTGCACGCGTAGCATCGACACACCCCATTGCTCATCTGTTCCTTGCAGCAGCCACGCTTATAGCCTGACACCTCTTCACATGGTGAGTCCCACATTTCAATCACCCTTCTCATATATCTCACGTACAGGCGCAAGCGGACGTAAAACAATGTGTATATCTGACGATTAATCAAGCTTTGTCTAACAACCAACCGTACACACAACAACGATATAACAGAGTCCATTCGAACAGAATAATCAGGGAAGAGAAGAAAACTACCAAACTACAAGTGTTTATTCTTTAATACTAATGACTAAAAACTACTGTCGACAGAGAAAAATAGTCCGATGAAAAAAATCATCTTTTCAACAGGTTTTTATATTTTTAAATACTTCATTCTATATGGACGGAACCGGTTTTTAAAAATGATTTGGAACTTAATGTTTACGTTAAACATTTTATCGGTTGGTTTTTATTCTTTGAACGAGTCGCGTTTTGGAAATCAGTAAAAGAGATTTATCTAAGATGGTAAGTAATTAAGTTTAAAAATTATATATCTACCATTCCTTGGCACCTCCATTTCTCTTCATATATTTTGCAGGAATCGACCGCTACCCGAAGACAGCCATTGGAAGCAGTGTTAATAATTTCATTTAAATTTCAAAACTTTGTCATTGATATTGAGCGTTGATTATTTTGTTTGTACATATTGACTGATTTACTTTTTACGGATTATCAACCTTTTGCAGGTTATTTAAAGCCAGAAAATATTTTTAGATTGTAAGAATTTTCGGGGAGAGAATAATGATTTACTGACACAGGTTCTACTAATTAACCATGACCAAGAACTTGTTCTTCTTTAGGGTCTGTGACATCTTCCACTCAGTTTTTAGGGTCGGGTCTATCTAGCTAGGTAGCTAGCTAGCTATCTACCTTTTGATTCTCTCTCTTTTCCTCCGCCTCTCTCTCACATTCTCTCTATCCTCCTCTCTCTCTCTCTCTCTCTCTCTCTCTCTCTCTCTCTCTCTCTCTCTCTCTTACTGTATTTAGAATATAGCGTTGAAATATCGGTTCGCGTACGATCCCCGAAGTTAAGTAAGGTTGAGCCTGGTCTGTATCTAGATAGGAGACCACTTGTGAATACCAGGTGCTGCAAGCTTGGATGTGCGAGTCATGTAATGGATAATGGCTCGGAATTGTTAATCGGAAAGCCGAGTTCTAATTCGTGTCGGTTTTGTTATATTTACATACGTGCAAAGGATTTTGGGAAAAGTATGATTCCACCTCTTTTTCCCCAGCCATGGGTTAATTAATAAACTCATAAACATTTTAAAATCTAAAAGTATTTTTTTGGTTTTAAATAAGCTGCAAAAAGTTGATAAAACGTAGCAAACAAATCAATTATTGTATTTACTTTGTTATCGCGAATTTTGTTTCAATCTATCTATATATTCTCTAATTTAATCACCTGCTTAGTTCTCTCTCTCTCTCTCTCTCTCTCTCTCTCTCTCTCTCTCTCTCTCTCTCTCTTTTCCATATCTGTCTTCATACGATTTTACCGGAGTCGAAAAGATATGATCGCCCAAGTGTGTCACATCCGCCCCTACCAGCAAGCATTGGGCCAGAGCAGTAGGGTAATGGTCCATTCCTCCCTATGGTCTGGTGAAGGCCCACGTCCAACAAAGGACCTTCACAGGCCAAGAAGAAAAGTATGGGTTCTCAACGCCCGAGGCCAAATATACTTTTATCACCTCTAACTCTGAGATATTTTGATTGTTTTTTAGCCACGTTCTAATTGTTCCATTACCACATTTTTTTAATGTCATGTCAAGTCATGATTCACCACATAATTATCTTTCTTCATTATCTAAGAGCTGCCCAGACTTCTGGGGCCAATATTGTAGAAGATTGTAGAAGATTTACAGTTACCTTTTTTATGGTTTTGCATTCAGAGTCCTCTTCCTCATAGACTAAATACCGGTGCCCAGTCTTCCATACCATTAACCATTAATATATATATATATATATATATATATATATATATATATATATATATATATTATATTGATTTTTTAAATATTTGAAATTTACGAATTTAATTAATGAATTTAAAGTATGAATGTATATGCTTATAAAGCTCTGTAAATTTCAAAACAAGTTATTCAAAAATTCGCTTGAAAACAGTACTAGGTACTTTAATTTAATTTCTATAATTGAATTGTAAGTTTTAGCTTCTGTTTTTGAAACATGGTAATTCCTGTGTTGCGATGGAATCATATTTTTTAAAAAAATAATTATAATATAGGCTCTACTTGTGTATCGAGTACTCTTTTTAAAAATAAAAACAAAAATACTAAAGAACTTCGGATTATCAATCTAATGGTTCTTTCGTATTTTGTCAATATATTTGCACGCACACACACACATACACACACACACACACACACACACACACACATATATATATATATATATATATATATATATATATATATATATATATATATATATATATATTCAGAGAGAACCATTGCGGCTAAAAAGTACATGAAGAATAGATAACTATAGAATTCTTATAATCCGTCCCAAATTCTTCTTATATTCTATCATCAATTGCTCATCCCTCCAACAAATTTCATATACTTCAAATGAATCTTTTTCTACATATTTTGTAGTACACCTTATGAACTTCATCCTACAGCGGAAGTAATCGTATGTGGATCGGTCCAAAAATGAAATTATTTACTTTGTAGTCATTGACCAACAATTCCACCAATTATATTTCGATATCCGTATCATAGAGTTCGATTAATATTGCAAGCAAGCATAATAGGTTTCCGTTCGCGTACCTCGACGTGGTGTAATGGTTAGCAAGTTTGTTCTCGCTAGAACAATTATGATTGAGCTCGATCCTCGGTGTATGCCACATCTTGTAAGTTTTGTCTTTTCACCATCCTCTCCCAATCCTTTTTCTGTCACGCATAAGCTCATTAGCTGCTTCCCTCTTTCCCTCTTGCATTCAATATTTCCTAAGAGTGTCAAATTCTCCAAGCCCTCTTTCCTCAATATGCGTCTTTCACATTTCAACATGGTTTTTTTTTATTAAGTATAAACTTCCTTTTTGTTTCAATTTCCTTAAAACCTCCTCGTTATTCGCATGTTCGCTCCATGGGATTCTCAGCATCCTTCTGTAGAACCACGTTTCTGTTATCTCAAGTTTCTACATCATCTGTGAAGGAATTGCCCTGCATCTACTACCATATAGGAGGAACGATATTATATAACAGCTCCACACTATTTTCTTCTAACGAAATTGCCCTGCTTCTTAATACTTTGCTTTTTTTTTAATGTTAGTTCATCCAATACAAGGCGCAAAACCCACTCAAGGTAGAGAGTTACTATGAGAGATTGTAAGGGGCAAGAGTGAAGTATTATTATTATGAAAACGATTAGAATAGATATTTGTTGATCCTGGCCCTAAAGAGACCAAGATTTTAGTTGTCAGGTGAGCATTCTCTCAGGAGTCTGTTCCACAAAGCAACATTTCTTGGTAAGAAGCTGTTTTAGTAGAATTTTCTTTTTATCGAAAGAATACAGCGTTAACAGGGCATGGCGGATCCTAGCTGTAAATATCTAGTGGTACCAAGGGACGTAACTCGTCCGAACATCTGCCATAGTAATAATGATATTGTAATGAAAGGCTGGTGACGTTTCGTCTGTGGGATAAGGGTTGCATGGGGATCATAAGTAATCACTCGCTTTTCTGCGTAAGCGCTTTTCAAATGTGTCCAGTCTGGATAATGAGGACTAGACCAGGTATAGCAACAGTACTCCAATTTTAGTCTAATCTGACTATTATAAAGAGCGGGAGTTAGGTATTTTCTGGAGAAACGACCATATTTGGGACGGACAGTTGCGTACTGGACATTTGCGTCCTGGACAATTGTGTACCAGACAATTGCGTCTCTGGATATTTGCGCCCCTAGACAAATGATTTCCTGGGTATTTTCGTACCTCTAAGTTTTTGAAGTCACCATTTGCTTTAAAGAGTTTTTTAATATAGAAATTTTCACACCAGTACCATTAATTCCTATAAACAAGCAGAAAGTTAGTTACCATAAATAAAAAAAGAGAGAAAAAAAAATTTTTTTTAAAGCAAGAGAAAATTAAGCTAGCAGTTTCAGTTCACTCCGGCAGTGCGTACCACAAACATTTAAGATTCTGGATTTTATAGATTATTTTTTTTTTATTTCGAACCCATGGCTAAGTTCCAAAGATCAAACACTGGTGGAAAAATATTTGTGGACGAGGAAAATTACAGCTACCATTACCATGAGAAAAACGCCGATGAAAGAAAAACATGTTAATCATTGCATTTTAAAGAAAAATAAAGCTCTAATTTTTTTTATTTCAATCCTTTTATTTCTTTTTTAAAAATTTATGATTACTACCTACACTTTAAAAAAAATATATGATAATTACCTTTAAAAGCATCAAAAACTTATCAAATGTACACAATTATATAGGGACGCATTTGTCTAAGGACGCAAATGTCCAGGGATGCAAATGTCAACTACGCAACTGTGCTAGAGCCATTTGTGAAGGATATTAGAATAATCCAGAACCTTTACTGGTAGCAAACCGCCTGAATACGGATAGAAAATGAGTTCATTAAGTATAGAAAAACAGAAAAATGTGTAAAACAAAGGACTTATTCGCTGGATTTATTTAAGGAATACATTGAGGCGATTTTGAGATATTTAGGGGTCCTACCAAGATTCACAATAAGCGGCCATGATCTTAACAATGTAATGTAGGCTGATGACACAGCGTTGAGAGCAGACACAGAAAGGAAACTACCAGATCCCCTGTAGAATGTAGTGAAGGAAAGAAAGAAGAAAGGACTGAACGTTAGTTGCAAGAAGACAGAATGCATGGTGATAGCAAAATGGATAGCCCAAAATTACAAATTGAAGATACCAAACTCAAACAAATACAAAAAAAATTTGAATGTCTGGGAAGCGTTTTAAAAGAGGACGAAAAATGCGACACTGAAAATCAAGGACACATTGGAATAGCGAAAGTTGCCTTCCAAAAGCTAAGCACAGTATTAAGCAACGGGAAAATTTCGTTAGAAACAAAGAAAAGTGTACCGAACTGTTATGGCAGTGAATGCTGGACAATCTTCTCACAGGTGAAGAAGAGACTTGAAGTAATATGGTTCTACAGAAGAATGCTGAGAATGCCATCAACTGAACATGTGAGCAACGACAAAGTTTTAGAGAAAATGAAAACAAAAAGGACACTTATATTTAACATCAGGAAGGGACAATTGAAATTTCTCAAGAAAGAGGGCTTGGAAAATTTCATACTCACAGGATATATCGAAGGCAAAAAGAATAAAGGGAGACAACGCATGACTTACCTAACGAGCTTGAGTTAATGGCTAGCGGAGGAAGGTGTAGCAGAGAAAACAGAAATTTGAAAAATTATTAAGAGCTACAAAGTCTAAGAAATTTTAGAAAGCCATGATCGTCAACATGAACATGGCACATAGAAGTCCTTAACATTAGCATATTCATGTATTCCGACAATAAAAGGTCAGGTATCAATTAAAAAAACGCCCCAGACATGTCAGTAATAATCTTATCGTTATTAGCAAGAAGATATATTATCAAAAATATTCATATAAAATTCATTGCTTTGTTCAACTGCAATTGTTCGGGATGTGCTCTCACAAGCGCGATAATTTTAAATCGTTAAATCATCAAAACAATTTTGATTCGGACTATTAATTCCGAGGTACGCTTTACAGTCAGGAAATAAATCTATAATGTATTTAAACTCAGGAAAAAAAGGAAAACCAGCATGTTATTCAATCATTTCATATTGTAAACCAAAAACGAATACGAAAGGAAGCAATTAAAAATTTATGAAGCAAATACAGCAGTCTCTTTCGTATTTGACTGAAAGAAACTCTTGTACTATTTCAGTTTGACTGAAACCAACGACTAAGTACGCTAAATAGTTGTTTGCTTTATCTGCGTTTTCTTAGCTTCATAATTACTCATTTTTATCATTTCATCTCAAACAAAGCAATAAAACTACTAAGACTCAAGGGGCCATTTAGTGTGAGAGAATATGATAAAAAGAAAATATTATTAAGGAGAATGACGAAGAATTAAGAAGACAGAAGATAACGATTTGCATTTAAATTTTTGAAGATCAAAGTTGAAGATCAAAATTGACTGGTAAGCAAGAAACCGAAAGAGAGTTCTTCAAAGGAGAAGTGCGAGAGATAAACTCTTAGAATAGAACTTACGGTTATATCTATCCATTTCAACTGTAAAATGATGAAAATTTGTCGTTAATCTAACAGTACACTTAAGTTCATAAACACTAGGTACCAAAGAGGAAAGCTCATTAGAACAATTACCATGAAAATAATTACAGAAAAGGCACAGGAATAAACGTTACTGCGGTTGGAAAGTAATTGAAAATGAGATGCCAGGTCAGAACCAAAAATATTGCAGATTCTTATAAATAGGGATTTATATAGATTCTATAAATACAAAAGAGCAGCATCGGACCAGATTTGACAGCAATATTCAATTCAAGAACAAATAGTAGACTTATAAATGTCTAAGACAGATTCTTAAAAGAAAGTATCACCTGGTTATACAGGAAATTTTTACTTCCTGTATAACCAGAAAAAATCCAACAGCATTCTGTTATTACTTTTTTACATATCTATTTCGCCTATCAGTGAACTTGCAAAATTTCCCGCAAAGTGTCATGAATTTTCAGTAATTTTTTTTCAAAATCATTTCACCCCAAGCAGAGCAATAATTCCACTAAGACGCAAGACTGAGTATTAGAGAATATGAGAAAAAATATTAAGGAGAGAGGACAATAAAAGTACAAGAATTAAGAAGACAGATGATAACGATTGACATTACAATTAAATTTTTGAATATCAAAGTTGACTGAGAGGCAAGAAGCCGGAAGAGAGTTCCACAAGCAAGAAGTGCGATAGAAGAAAATGTTAGCATAGAACTTACGGTTGCATCTAGCCATCTCAACTGTAATATTATGAGACCTTGCTATCAATCTAGTATTGTGCCTTAATTCATAGTGCCTAGATACCATCGAGGAAAGTTCATCAGAACAATTACCATGAAATTAATTAAAGAAAAAGCTCAGGGAAGCGACGGTACGGCAATGGGAGGTGACTGAAGTCGTGATGCCAGGTCAGGACCAATAATATTGCAGGTACTTCTTTGGATTTTATAAAGAATCTCTAAATATATAGCAGGATCATCAAACCAGATTTGACAGCAATATTCAATTCATGGACAAATAGTAGACTTATAAATGTCTAAGATAGATTCTTAAAGAAAGTACTACCTGCTTATACAGGAAATAAAAAGCACAGAAAACTTAAACAACATTCTATTATTACTTTTTTAAAAACTAATATTTCTTTCGTCTGAATTTCCGTTGATTTTTATAACTACTACTCAGATCGCCACTTTACAACAATGAGTAATATTATCATTTTGAATTTTTATTTGATAAAGTGTTGGCATCCATTAACAATTTTTGGCTAATATTTTTTTCATTCAATTGCTTTTCATCGGAAAGTAATATTTCTTGATTTTTTTTATTTGATGAAGCATTATCAAGCCTTACTTTTTAGCTAGTATGTCTTTCATCATAAATTTATGTTGTTTTTTTTTCTTTTCTTTACAATAACATCTATCTTGTACAAGTGCCACTCGAGGCAGCGGGTTACTGAGGTAAGAAATACAGGTTATGGGGACATGGAGGAGATAACGGTTAACCCTAGACTTGAACAGGTTCATTGTACAGATCGGTGAAGTATCCTTTTAGCGGTTTGTTGGAAGATGCTTCTTTCAGTGGAACTTATATCTTACCAATGGAATGCGAAGGAAATGAATGTGGTTCTCTACAATATGCATCGCATGGTGGGTCCTAATCGCGAAGGTTACAACTGGTGGAACTAAGGTATGTAGTTCGTCTGAGCACTTTCCGTGGAAATAGCAATAGAGTAGTCTTCATCATAACTGCTCAAGCCAGCAGTCTATAGCTAGTGGTGAACAGTGCAGATAGGAAATAATACGTTTACGATGAGACTCGAATCCACCCTTATTTGCCTCGGTCGACCTATCTTTCCCTTATAACTGCTCTACGCGTGTGAGCTACAAAAGTTCAGCAGTCTGCAGATGATCAAAACTATCTTATATTCTTTATTTCTTCGGATTACTTTACGCTGCCATATTTTATGTTATTGCTGCCATATTTGATCTTATTGCTTTGTTTATATACACTAGTAGCATTTGTAATAATAGTATTTTATTATTGAAATATTTTGAAGGGCTACAGGAGTTAATGAAAACAATAAAAACTGACATGTTAAAACAACAAGAAAAAGAATAAGCAAAAAAGAGGTAACAAAAAAATCACATCAATGTAAAGTGATAATATCGAAATCTAACCCGATTAACCAAAAAAAAAAAAGCAGCTGTACCAGTTTATCGGTCCTCTTACATCAGATCTCAATCGAGGACAAGAAATGTGAACATCTATGACCAAATGTTATATAATAAATATAACAATTAAAAGTGAATTACATTTAAGGCTAACAACCACCCCTTGTGCTTACAGAGAAATGGTTGGGAGGACTTTATATAAATAGTTTCTAACGCCTTCAAATTAAATTCAGAAATGATAACATGTTTCGGTTATAAAACCGGACACATTGCTGGTTTTTCTTTTTGTTTTTTTGTTTTTTTCGAAGTTTTTTTTTTTTTTTTTTTAGAAAAATGTCCAACTATCACTGAAACGGTTGTATTCACACACCAATGTAAATTATTCACCTTATCCTTGCGAATATTGGCTGTACCGTGCTGATTGATATTTGCTTTCAACACTTGACCCCTTCTTCCTACATAGCCAGCGTCAACCTGATATCCGTCAACCTGATATCCGTCAACCTGATATTGTTGAGAACAGCATCCGAGGAAAAAAATGTTTTCAATTTATTAAACCTAAACCAGTTGTCTCCTCCCACACTGTCCGGTCTATTTGCGCATAATGTGGATTGGGTTTTGCTCGGCATATATCTGCCTAGCCTTGATACCGCTAATTCAAATGTCAGTGTGACACTATGTAAGTAAAATTGGTCAAAGGTCAGAAGTACGGATCAGTCAACACATACCAACCAAAATTCGTAAGGGCAAAGTAGACAATTTACATAGATAATGCTAGACCAAACTAGCTCACTAACTATTACCCAAGCCCGTGGCATCCATATATTATCTATGATCAGCTTCATGACACAAAGCCTCAAATGCTGGGCGCACAGTGAGGATCGAACTCACTTTAGAAGTGATGTGTCGCTAGTTTGTTAAAAACTGCTCCATGGTCACGATGAGAGTAGGTTTGATTGATTTATTTATTTTTTACAGCTTATCAGGTTATTTAAAGCCAGAAAATATTTTTGGATTCTAAGAATATTTCAGGGATAATAATGATTTACTGATACAAGTCGTAGAATTAACCCATAGCTGAGGAGAGAGAGGTGGATTCATCCTGTTCCCGAGGTTATTTACGTGTAACTAAATATATCGAACATGACTGGAATTGGAACTCGGCTCTCCGATTTTCACTTCGGAATAGTTACCCTTTACTTCACCCGCAGTTCCAAGCTTACGGCAACTGGTATTCCTAAGCTGTCGTCTATCTAGGTAACGACGAGACAAAACGTTGCTTATCTTCGTTGATCGTACAGTGTTTCAACGTGATATGGCCGTAATCCCGACGAGAGCAGGATAGAAAGATTGAAAGAAAAATAATGAATCGATGGATAGATAGACAAATACTTTGTTGTTTGGTTTCCATGATTCACAATAGAGGAAAGTTGACACGTTTGTTAAGCATTGATTAACTCTCTCGACATTAAATCAGCCATTTGTCTACTTATCTTTCTTTGCCTTTGTTTAATCAGGCGTTCACTTGTGTTCGTGACCGTCCAGCTTGAACGAAACAGTTCAGATTTGAAATATTGTCAATCTAAATTTTTCTGGTTTCATTAAAAATAGAAACCTGTGTAAATATTAAATAGCTAAGGAAATTAAACGATGGTTTTTGTACTCTGAGAAAGATTCGAGTCATTTCCCCTAATTGAGAATATGACCTTTGGTTTACATTGCTTTTTATCTTCATCAATGACCTTTCCGATGTCATCACTTCCCAACTAGGTATTTATCCAGATGACACTACCATTTAATCTTGTCTCATAGTTAGTCCAAAAGATCCGACTAAGTAAACCTGTCAGCCACTCAATGAAAAGGACCTTCAATCAATGGGGACAAGAAATAGCTTGTAAATTTCAACATCTCTAAAACTGCTTTCATTTAAACGCCTTCTTCTGCCTAACATCAAGATGGCTGATGATAAGCTCCAGGATAAGACCAATCTACGTCTTCCTGGCCTCAAGGTGGAGTAACTATATTGACCAGGCTTCTCAAGGATCTGCAATGCTGACCAGGTTTCTCGAGGGTCTGCAATGCTGACCAGGCTTCTTGAGGGTCAGCATTCCTGACTAGGCTTCTCGAGGGTCTGCAATCCTGAACAGGCTTCTCGAGGGTCTGCACTCTGACCAGGCTTCTCGAGGGTCTGCAATCCTGACCAGGCTTCTTGAGGGTCTGCAATCCTGACCAGGCTTCTCCAGGGTCTGCAATCCTGACCAGGCATCTCGAGGGTCTGCAATCCTGACCAGGCTTCTTGAAGGTCTGCAATCCTGACCAGGCTTCTCGAGGGTCTGCAATCCTGACCAGGCTTATCGAGGGTCTGGACTCCTGACTAGGCTTCTCGAGGGTCTGCAATCCTGACCAGGCTTCTTGAGGGTCTGCACTCCTGACCAGGCTTCTCGATGGCCTGCACTCCTGACCAGGCATCTTGAGGGTCTGCAATGCTGACCAGGCTTCTTGAGGGTATGCAATCCTGAACAGGCTTCTTGAGGGTCTGCAATCCTGACCAGGCTTCTCAAGGTTCTGCAATGCTGACCAGGCTTCACGAGAATCTGCAATCTGCAATCCAGACCAGGCATCTCGAGAATCTGCACTCCTGACCAGGCTTCTCGAGGGTCTGCAATGCTGACCAGGCTTCTCGAGGGTCTGCACTCTGACCAGGCTTCTCGAGTGTCTGCATTCCTGAACAGGCTTCTTGAGGGTCTGCAATCCTGACCAGGCTTCTCAAGGATCTGCAATGCTGACCAGGCTTCTCGAGAATCTGCAATCCAGACCAGGCATCTCGAGAATCTGCACTCCTGACTAGGCTTCTCGAGGGTCTGCAATCCTGAACAGGCTTCTCGAGGGTCTGCACTCTGACAAGGCTTCTCGAGGGTCTGCAATCCTGACCTGGCTTCTCCAGGGTCTGCAATCCTAACCAGGCTTCTCTTAGACCTTCGTTGTTTCTGATCTTCATCAATGACCTTCCCGATGTCATCAGATCCCAACTAGGTATTTATGCTGATGACATAATTATTTACTCCCGTCTTAATAACAAGACGAAGTGAAACTGTCAGTCGCTCTTGAAAATAACATCCAGTCAGCCAGTGGGGCAAAAGATGGCTGCTAAATATTAACGTTTCCAAAATGTGATTGCTATCTTTTAATTACCAGAACTATGTTAGCCTTCCATCAGTATGGCTGATGATAACCACCAGGAGAGTAACTCGTTGCGCCTGTTTGGACTTACCGTTTCCACAGACATGCAGTGGAAAGATTATATTGAATCAATTGTTAAGTCTGCAGCGAAGAAAATTGGTTCAATTTGTCGTACTAGACCATTTTTTCTCGCTATCTTACATATTTATAAGTTTACCATTCTTTCTTGCTTTGAATATTGCTGTCAAATCTGGTCTAGTGCTCCTGCTACACATTTAGAGATTCTTGATAAAATATAAAGAAGAATCTGCAGTATTATTGGTCCTGACCTGGCATCTCATCTTCAATCACTTCACACCATCGTAATGAATTATCATATTGAATCTTCAAGTTGTTTTACCGTGTCGTGTTAAACAGTTCTTCTCGTCATATTCCATCTTGCACATTTATAAATCTACCATTCATCAGCGCATTGAATATTGCTGCCATATCTGGTTAGCTGCTCCTGCTATATATCTCAAGATTCTTGACAAAATTCAAAGAAAGATCTGTAATGGAATCGATCGTGATCTCGCATTCAGTCACTTTGTCACAGACGTGACTTTGCTTCCCTTTGTCTTTTCTACAAATATTCCATGGAAACTGCTCTACTGGGCTTCTCTCCTTAGTGTCTAAATTTAAGCATACTAATAGATTTGGCAACTAGGTCTCACCGTTTTACTGTTGAACTAGTTAGACGCAACTGCCAGTTCTATTCTAAATGTTTCTTTTATCACACTTCTCACATGTGGAAGTACTTTCCGATTTCTTACTTCCCTGCCACCTACAATCTTCAAAATTCTTCTGTCTTCCTGAATGTTGTTCTTTTATTGTCCTTTCCTCACATCGCACTAAAGTCGTTTCATTCTCTTTCGCCCCCTTTAACCCACTGCGTCCTAGTGGCATTATGACCTTGCTTGAGGTGAAATGATTAAACAAACAAGGTGAGAATGATAGAAGCGAATAGTAAGGATAGAGTTATTAGGTTGGTGCAAAAATAATGACGTAATAATGTCGTTTTTGACGTATTTTTAACGTCAAAAACGACATTATTACGTCATTATTTTTGCACCAACCTAATAGTTTAATGCATTTTATAACAGATCAACCCTTGACGAGGTATTCAATATTGAAATCCGTTTTTTATTATACATGAGTCTATAGCTTAACATTGGTTGTGCTTTTTAGAGCAACTACTCAAGGTAAACCTTGGTTAAGAGTAATCTTGAATTTATAATGTGATTAAACATTGTCAAGCATTTTTAATTTTCAACAAGTAATTCTTTTATCTTAATTTCACTTGCTTTTTATAGCAACTAATCAGACTGTCACTTTACGGTCGTTAACATAAATATAGTCTTGAAGATTTATTAGGATGAAGCATTGTCAACCACTGTTAATTTTTGACTAGTAATAAAGACAGAATACATGGTCATCAGTAAAAGAATGAGCCCAAAATGCGATCTGCAGGTCGGGAACACTAGAATCAAGCAGACGCGGAAGTTTATATATCTGGGAAGTGTTTTGACAGTGAAGGGCAAGGGCGACACTGAAACCCGTAGACGTATTGCGATGGCCAAGGACGCACACCAAAAGCTGGGCAGAGCCAGGAGTATCTCTTTCGTAATAAAGAAAAGAGTACTGAGCTGTTATGTGACATATGTCCTTCTTTACAGCAGCGAATGTTGGACGCTCTCCTCAAACATGAAGACGAGACTCTAGGCGACGGAGATGTGGTTCTACAGAAGGATGCTGAGGACATCATAGACAGAGCGTGTGAGCAACGATGAGGTCTTGGAGAGGATGCAAACGAGAAGGAGGCTTATATTTAACATCAGGAAGAGGCAGCTGAAGTTTCTGGGATACGTAATGAGAAAGGAGGTGCTTTTGTTTACATTTTCCTTAAAACTTCCTCATTGCTCACATGTTCAGTCCATGAGATTCTCGATATCCTTCTGTAGGACAACATTTCTGTTTCCTCAAGACTCTTCATCAACGAGGAGTGATATTACATAACAGCTTAGTACTCTTTTCTTTGTTTCTAACGAAATATTCCTGTCTCTTAATACTTTGCTTAGCTTTTGGAAGGCATCTTTCGCTATTCCAATGTGCCTTCAGATTTCGTTATCACATTTTCTATCTTCTGTTAAAACACTCTACCAGAAACTTAAATTTTCGTACTTACTTGATTTCGATATCACAAATTTGCAGTTTGCTTCTCAGGATATTTCCTTGCTGACATCCATACATTCAGTCTACTTGTAATTGATAGTTAGTCTTTTCTTCTCGTTTTCTTTTACTGCATTTTGTTGGAGTTCCTCCACTTTCCATTCTGTGTTATCTGTTTATATTATGTTGTTAAGATTGTGTCCACCAATAATAAATCCTGGTAGAATTTCTAGTTTTCTCAGGGTCGCCTCACCGTAAAGGTTAAATAAGTCCGTGGAGAAAATACATTCTTGTCTTATGCCCCTTTCTATTTTTGTGCATTTACTGAATTCATTTTCTATCCGGACGCAAGTGGCTTGCTCCCAAGATAAGTTCTGGATTATCCTAATATCCCAAATAGATCAAGGTTACCTAGTAGTTCAAACAATTCTTTATGTCAAACCTTATCAGAAACTTTTGCATAATCTATAAAACATCATTCTGCATTTATATTGCTCTTTCTGGTACCATTCCAAGTATAAATATCACATTCCTTGTTTTAGCGTCTTTAACGAAACCGTACTTTTATTGTCCTGTTTCTAACCTAATTCTGCTCTGGGGTCTATTCATCAGAATTCGGATAAGTTTCGTTATGACTCAGTAGGACAGAGCTCGCATTCATTTTCACCCGGATTTAAAAAAAAACAAAAAACAAAAGAAAAACTTGTAATCTATTCATTAAATAAACAATTAAAAGAAAGTATTGTTCAATAATATTAAATCACGTAGCACCTTCCTGCGTGATGAATAATAAGATTAAAACTTAAAAACACATCATTCAAAAAAAAAAGAGAATATTTATTTACAATTAAGTTGACGTAATATATATATATATATATATATATATATATATATATATATATATATATATATATCAATATAAGATATATATATATATATATATATATATATATATATATATATATATATATATATATATATATATTTGTGTGTGTGCGTATTTATTTTTAATCCGCCAGTTTACTACTTCAAACGTTATTTTAATCGATGCTCGGATGTGAAAAAACGAAATTGGCCGGCAGGAAACGAACTTGCGAATAACAGACGAACAATACGGTGTGCTTTACTCCTCGGCTACGGAGAGCAATTCAGCAAAGCTCGATTTTCTCGACCATGGAGGGCAATAGACGAGCAGTTTCAAATAAAAATTTAATTTAATATATATATATATATATATATATATATATATATATATATATATATATATATATACGTCCTAAAAAAATAAAACGCTGAATAGAAGAGTACTGCGGTTTGAATAAAGTTGTTCAGTGGCAGGTCAGAAATTATGGCAAAATATAGGCACATGAGGAAGTTGACTTTGGGATTATATGATCCCGGATGAAGTTGGAAAAATAATTTTTTATGCTATATTTCTTTACCACTCCTCCCCACCTCATTACTTCTGGTGCCGCATTAAGAAATTTAAGTTCTTTTTGTGGTGTCTGTAATTATTTCGATGATTTAACCATCTGATGAAGCCTTGGCGGTTAAAACCGCGATAGTGTTCCATTCACCGTTTTATTATTTTAGGATATTAAATCGTGCTACAGGTTTGATTTTTCTAACTTGATATTTAGCACTTTTTAACGATTTGAAACAACTATTTATTACTTCGTTATATATATACATATATATATGTGTGTGTGTGTGTGTGTGTGTGTGTGAGTGCGCGCCCGCGTGTGTGTGCAAATCATTCATATAAAAAGTAAATTAGTAAAGTTAATGATATAAAATGGTGAAATCCCTTCACTAACAAAATTGTAAAGGTGCATTAACCTACCAATCACTCGATGAATGTTATGATCCTTGTTTTTAAAAAATTATAAACTGTATAAGGTCTTTCCTAGATACGCAAGAACTTTCGACAGTACATTGAGTCATTTTCAGACATGGAAATTATTTGTTTTTGGTAAAATTCAGGTAGCATCCGAGACGAAAAAAAATCATTAACTTTACTAATTTACTTCTTGTATGAATGATTCATTGTAATATAAATTGAACTGCACCGCATATTTGATATATATATATATATATATATATATATATATATATATATATATATATATATGTATGTGTGTTATATATATATATATATATATATATATATATATATGATAGGATAAACAACAAAGTTTATAAATTTAACGCGTTTTACTTTTATGTAACCTTCATCAGAAATTAAATATGGGTGAGAAAAGAAAATTCTGGTATTTTTTGTTTTTGTGTTGCTTATTTTCCATTCGTTAAGTAAACCTCACGTGTCTTGGCAGGTAACGTTTTCGTGTGTAATTTTGATGTGTTTGTGTATCATAATTCTAGTGGATCCATGCGGGATTTGATTGATAATTTGTCCACGTTTGTGCGTGTAGTGGGCATTGCTATTTCAGTTTAGTAGTGTCCGTACGTTAATTAGCGGATCTTTTGTGCAGGAGTGAAAAAATTTAGGTTACACCGGTTGTCGTTGTAGTTAGACTGATTTTAGATTCTTAAAGTATGGATTTTCTAAAAGTTGATGATATAATAAATGTGTTTTGCGTTTTTTTATTGATGGGAAAATATTATCAGGTTCCTTCTAAGTATTTTCTATGTAATCATACGTAATAATTTTTTTTTCTTATTAAAGTGAAATTTATTAAGTCGAAGTTATGGCTTGTTTTATTTCTACGTGTCACGAGCAATATTTGATCCCAATTCATATTAATGTCTCTAAGGTTGACTTAAAACGGTTGCAGTTCTCGTTTAAGAATGGCAACAGAGACATGGTAAGTGCTAATTGTTGACTACGAATCATACCTTTCCGTCAATTGCAACCTCTACTTCAGAAAAAATCGGTCTACATTTTTTAACAACATTCTACTGTTTTTAAGTCATTTTTAACCTATTTTTAATTTTTGACAAATATTTTTTTCATAATGCATATAAAAATATTAGTTGTCTGCACCTGAGTCAGCATTGGTCGATTCGCTAGGTGCTACCTTGGATGTGTGGAGGGCTTACTTCTGTAGAAAATACAGTCAGCGTATTGTAGGCCCTGACAATAGGACAAGAGTTATCAGCAGGAATTTCTCCGCCCAAAATTTTTCTTACATCTTTATAAATCTACACGACGTCGATGCATTGAATATGGCTGTTACATTTGTACTGGTACTATATATGTAGAGATCCTTGATAAAATCCAAAGAATCTGCAATGTTATCGGTCCTGACCTGATATCTCTGTTTCAGTCACTTTCCCACCGCCGTAACGTAGATTCACTGTGCCTCTTCTGTAAATATTTTCATGGTATTTGTTCTGGTGAGCTTTCCCCTTTGGTACCTAGACTTTACGAATTTAAACGCAATCCTAAATTAGCAGCTTGCTCTCATGATTCTACAATTGGCTAGATGCAACCGTAAGTTCTATGCTAACAATTTCTTCTCTCGCATTTCTTGGTTGTGGAATTCTCATCCGGCTACGATCTCCAAAAATATAAATGCAATGTCAATCGTTATCTTCTGCCTCCTTGAATATTGTACTTTATCTGTCCTCTCTCCTTAATAATATTTTTTCTCGGGTTCTTTCATTCTTGCGTCTTAGTGGCTTTATTGCCTTGCTTGAGGTGAAATGATAAAAAAGGATAACGCCAATGCGTCAAAAAGGAAAGATTTGCCTACCAAGAAAACCAGAACCCGAAAACCGTCCTCTGGAATCTCTGGAGAAATACGTGACTATCTCGGTCATAAAAGAAGGCAAACTTTTCCTTTGCGGAGTTCCTTAAACTAAACGAAATTTTATATCTCTTAAATTTTGGACTATAAGCTTCCATCTGCAATTCAAACTCTCAGTCATGACAATTACTTTTCCATTTTTAAAATCCTTAATTGGAATAAAATTATCTATGTGTGAGATACCGCAAAGATTATCAGTATGAAATTTGCAAATGGGGTTTGAATTTTGGCTAAAGCTCTTTATGTTCATTTTGTACTGTGCCTTGGAGAAAGACAGTAATCTACATCTCTGATCTCTATTCTGCCACTAGATAGGTTGATAACATCATTAAAGGCCTGACAGAGTGTTTAATAAAGAAAGAATATAGTGAGTGAATGGGCATTGATTTAAAAACACTCTCCCATAGTAAGAGGCAAAAGTAACAGTAAAAAGCTGTTTGAGTGTCAACCTCGGTCAGGAACTGGTTTTAAGCTTAGCTTTCATCTTTTTCTTGGCCGCTCGGCGACATATTTATTATCGTTTTACCCACAACATTAAGTTTAGTAGGAATAATATTATTCACAATATTGATTGAAAATGCTTCATCAAATGAAAATTCAAGGTTTGGTTTAGTTTAGTTTGTTTTACGGCATATCAACACCTCAATGGGTTATTTAATGCCGAGAAAATTTTTATTGCTGGTAATATTTTTTTTTCAGAAATACATTGCTGGTAATATTCTTTTCATTTAAAAATCTATTTCTGAAATATTTTTCCTTCAAAAAATCTATTTCTGGTAATATTTTTTCTTCAAAATGTATCGCTGGTAATTTTTTTTTTTCCTTTAAAAATTTATTGCTGGTAATAATCTTTTACAAAGTATTTCTGGTATTAAAACCTATTTTTACACTTTCATAGTGTTTTGTCCCCAGTTTGGGGGTTAACTATTTGCCCACCGCAGGTCAGGGTGAACCTGGGAACACCAGCAATTAAGAGGTGGTTCCACGTTCCTAAACATCTCTTGCTGTCGGTCGTAGTTTATCTTCATACCCAGGACGGAAAGATTCAAGTTAATATACGAATTATGTTTAGAGATTTTACCAATGTGTGTATGTGTTTATATTTTATTCTTTGCAACATCAATATTGTTCTATAATCCTTTTTTTTTTCATGAATGAAGTAAACAAAAGCCATCAAGTTTTCTCTTCCACTGTTATCACACGATTCATCAGTCTATATAATGTACAATGCGTTATTCATGACATTTTTTATATTGGCCTCATTATCTTCAGACAAATCTGTAGTATGCCTGGCTATGGCATTATCAGATAACGGAATTTTATTAATTTCATTTTCATATTCTGTGTCAAACATTGTTAGCACAATTGCTTTACAAGTAACATTTTGCAACTCTCTGCTTCCATATTTTTGCTTGCAATATATTTAGCAATTATATAACTATTTTCTTGTATTTTACTTGAAACGTTGAAGATTTGAATGAAATTAGTCTTTCTTTTTGCGTGTTTTTTTCTAGTTTTAACAAACTAAAATATTCAGGTAAAATTATGTCAGATCATTCTACAGGTGCCACTGATACTGTGTAACCCAGTACGACCTACGGCATATCCGGTTCATCAGTGACTAAACAAGTTTTCCGCCGCCATGCTTTTCTGGTGATGTGAGTGGCTTGACAACCAACAGGATTAAAAGTGAAACCTCACAAACGGTGGATTAATCTTTAACGGTCATAGAATAAACTGGGATCCATAGCTATGTGACAGCCAGTGTGGTGATGACACAGCATCGTTGGATAGAGGGCTTAGTAGACTGAAGTCAACGGTCTAGGTAGATGGTTCCTTTAGCGGAATCAACAGCCTTGTATGCGTGTCCAAGGTGAGCCTTTAAGTTGGAAAAACATCGGATGTAGTTTGACCTGGAAAGTGCTGGGTTCCGCCAGGCTTACACGACCAAGACACGCTACGCAGGAATTAATATATCTCTGCCTTTCAACCCAGATATGTAAGTGGAACTGGTTCGGTGTTCAGATATACAGTGACCCTGTGACCACACCTGGTCAGAGGACTGATGATGATGATGATGATGATTAGATTTGTCATTAAGATTATTGTGTTTTGTAGACAAGAGACCATGGTTTAAGCTGACGATTACGTCATAAGGCATTTTGTATTTGGTGCAATTTCATCTGTACACCAAGTTCAGTCACTTTCTCACCAATGTGACGTGGCTTCTCTCTGTCTTTTCTACAAATATTTTCATAGCAATTGTTCTGACGAGCTTTTTTTTCTTAGTGCCTCAGCTGCATGAATGTTAGTCCTGGGTATAACGATAAGCTACATCCGACTAAAACACCTCTGATCGGGAGATTAGAGGTTTTGGGGAGCGTGGACTGGGCTCCATATCTATGAAGCAGTATTCACATTTGATGTTTATTCACTGAACAGTTTCGATATATTCACTATATGTTTCATTCAGATTTCTTACATCTCTCATGCTTTTATTTTTTCTTAGAAACTTAACTTTCTGCGTAAATGCGTACTTTCTTGTGAATGACAACTGGGACGAACAGGTTCTAACGACATTATTCGCATATAGGTTTCATTACAAGTAATGGTTTAAAATCAGTGTTAAAGAAACAGTTCTGTGAGTTGAGTTAAAGAAGGTCCTTCAATTATAAATGAATTCACAGTGGAGAGGAACAAATCAAAGAAAGAATTAAATGAAAATGCACACGAAATACAGTGGAACCTCGGTTCACGAATTTCATTCGTTCCTGAGGGCCGTTCGTAACCCGAAATGTTCGTAAACCGAAACTATTAAGGAGCGGTACAATAAAAGGCGAGGAATCAAGCTGAATAATGTGTGCTTTATATATATATATATATATATATATATATATATATATATATCAGCAATATTCATATATATATATATATCAGCAATATTCATATATATATATATATCAACAATATATATATATATATATATATATATATATATATATATATATATATATATCAACAATATTCATATATATATATATATATATATATACACACACACACATATATATATATCAGCAATATTCATATATATATATATACATATATATCAGCAATATTCATATATATATATATATATATATATATATATATATATATATATATATATATATATATATATACAAATTTAAAAGAACGAAAAGAATAAAATTAAAACATTCATATCATCAATTTAAAAAAGGGCTCAATCCAAGAGGAGAGTAATAAATATTTATTAAAAAAACCTGTTACATTTGAACATGCATGTTACTACTACAAAATATGCAATTTCGTAGTAGTAGATTGCAATGTTCTAATGTAACAGTTTTCAATATATATATATATATATATATATATATATATATATATATATATATATATTCTCCATCAAGACATTCATTTCTGTAGTTCACTGCTACCAGCAAGCAGAAATATTTCTCCTCCCGATGATGGCAATTTCGGTCGAAACCAGTCGAGGAATCTAAATGGAATAATAATAAAAAAACGAAAGAATATTAATCTACAACCCAGTGTGTCTAAAAGATTTTAATTTTTAATTTTTAATTTTTTATTGTTCAATATATATATATATATATATATATATATATATATATATATATATATATATATATATATCATTAAAATCTCTCATATCTTTACTGTTTAAACACTTTATTAGAAACTTGGCCTCTTGAGAGTTTTAAGTAAGACCTTTCTGCGTAAATACGTATTTTCTTGTGAACTGAGATGAGCAGATTTTACCGTCACCACTCTCGTAGAGGCTCTACTGTCAGTGATGCGGCTATAATCAATATTATAAATATATTTATGAATTAAGTTTCAGTAAGAACTCATGGTAGAAAAAGAAGAGTCGAGCAAGAAACTTGACAACTGAAAAGGCACATGTAATATATTTTCGAAGAGGGAACAGAGATGTCTTTATATAACTTAGAGGAGATGTTCAGTTCATGAAGTTTGCATATTTTTCTTCCTTCACGTGTCGTGTGATCATGGATCTCAACAATTTCCTATCTTTTTTTATCTCAAAGCAATCTTTGTCCGCTTACTTTCCCTCCTAACTCTCACTATTTCGGAAACATTTGCTCTTTAGGTAGGTCACTCGATGTTTCCTCAGCCTCTCTTGACTTCAGTACACCCTGGGAGTGTCAAATCATCCAAGCCCAATTTCTTCATTGTGCATCCATAAAATTTCAACCGTCTCTTTCTAAATCAAACAGAAGTGTCTTTTTTGTTTCCATTTTTCTTAGAACATCTTTGCTGCTCAAATGTTCCGTCAATCCTGGATATGACGATAAACTACATCCGGCAGCAAGGCCTCTGATAAGAAAATTGGAGATTTTGAGGAACCACCTTTTAATTGCTAGCGTTCCCAGGTCGACCCTGGTCTGGGATTGTAACTTCTGTTAGGGTCCCAGTTATGGGCAAATAGAGAACTCCCACTCACAAACATAAACCAAACTCGAAGAAAGTATAAAAATACATTTTTATAGTAAAAATAACAGCAATACATTCTTATATGTAAAAAAAATTACCACCACTACCTATTTATAGTAAAATCACCAACAATATATTTTATGTGTAGCTGGAGGCTTATAAATGCATTTAAAATATTTAGATTTTGGGATTAAATAACCCATAGAGATTGATAGGCCGCTAAACAAAATCAACCAACCATCAAATGTTCCATCCAAGGTATTCTCAGCATCCTTCTGTAGAACCACGTCTCTGTTGCCTGAAGTCCAATATGTGATAGAATTGCCTAGCGCCCACTGCCGTATAGGAGGATTGATATTCAATAGGAATTCAGTACACTTTTCTTTGTTTCTATCGAAATGTTTCTGTTCCTTAATAGTTTGTTTAGCTTTTGGAAGGTATCTTTTGTGATTCCAATACGCCTTTGGTTTTCGTGGACACATTTTACGTTCTCTGTTGTCAACTGATACATTCTTGAAAAACGAAGACACAGGTTTACTTCTAAGGAAACAGTGGAAAATAAGGGTTGGAGAAAAGTAATTTATTTGGCATGGCCCAATTCACCGTACTTTAAGATAACATCTACGATACTCTAACTCTCACTATTTCGGAAAAAAACAAATAGTAGGGTGTTTCATTAAGACGGATAATATATAAGGGTGTTTCATTAAGACGGATCAAAGTCAGCAGTAAATAAATCAGTGTTATTGGTGAAATTTTATTTATTTCTCTATTGAATCATGTTATTTAGGTCATGGCAATTACGTGTGAAAAATAATATTGTCCAAATGTCCGGCACACCTCCACTCGATGATAAAGACTTTTGATGACATCTCTGCATAGTTACTCCTCGATCTCACCAATATGCTTTATTACCTCATCCTTCAGCTGTTGAATTGTTGTTGGCTTGTTGGCATAGATTTTACTTTTGAGATGATCCCAAAGGAAAAATCTAAAGGCATCAAGTCTCACGATCGTGGTGGACAACTGACTTCGCAGTTTCGAGAGATGATGCGACCTGAGAACTTCTCAATGCATTTCTGTTTGAACGTTCATTTTCGTAAGAGGCTTCGATAACTTTAACACGTTGTTTGCTTGTTAATCTTTCCATGGTAGAAATTGCCGAAGACTTAAGTTGTTAAATTTGAAAGAAAAAGAAAAAAATCATTAGACGCTTAAAATTAATTCACATTTAAAATCGGTCCAAGTTATTGGAACACCCTTTATTTTTTCTTTTGTTGCTCGCAGGTTAATTGTTCTTGGAGGAAGGCGGACTATGTCCAGAAAAGCTGACCAAGATGGGTTGCTCCGTTTCACTGTCTCGACATAACTGTGTCCGATTCTACCCGTCAACAACAGCCAGTCCTTCAGTTAAATTCGAAGGATCGAAGGAAGAGATAAAACAGGTGAGTTCTTATGGTGATTTTCTAAGCTTAGCTTAGATATTGCACAAGGCCGAAAGTATGGGGAACCCAGTGAGAATCGAATACACTATTTCGTCGTAATTGATCTAGCGAGACAAGCATGCTAATCATTAAACCACGTCGAAGTGAGCAACAGGTGAGTTCTTGTGAATTCAGTTTATCGCTTTGAAATTACGGAAGTTTGGAAAAGGACTAAACTTCAGATTCAAAAGCAGCTTCCTATTTCATGGAGGTACGCCAGTAGGATCATGTTTAATCTGTTAAAATCCCCTTTGAAATATAGTGATTTATTTCAGCTTATCCTCATCCTAGTTTTGCTTATTTTATTTTTATTAATATGTGATATCTATTCTCTTATATAGCAGTGAATGAGTGACAATCTCCCTACGGATGAGGAGAAAACTGCAATTATCAGAAATGTGATTTTATGGAAGGATTCTGAGAATTTCATGGACGGAACGAAAAGAAAATGGTAACAAAATGCCCAGAATCAGCAACGAGGAAGAAGGTATTGGAAAATGTAACCCTTAGAGGGTATATTGGGACCAAGAAAGATAGAGGAAGGCAGTGAGTCAACTATCCAACGAGCTTGTATTAATGAATGGTGGAATTGTGGGCGGGTTTATTAAGGGTCACTAGGGATAGGAAGTTTTGGAAATCCATGATCGCCCATATTCTGAAGGGACGCGAGAAGAAGAAGAAGTAGTAGAAGAAGGAGGAGGAGGAGATGGAAAGAAGAAGAAGGAGGAGGAGGAGGAGGAAGAAAAAGATGGAGGAGGAAGAAGGAGGAGGAAGAAGGAGGAGGAAGAAAAAGAATAAGGAGGAGGAGAAGAAGGAGGAGGAGAAAAAAGAAGGAGGAAGAAGAAGAAGAAAAGGTGGAAGAAGAAGAAGAAAAAAGGTGGAAGAAGAAGAAGAAAATAGGTGGAAGAAGAAGAAGGAGGAGGAGGAGGAGGAGGAGAAGGAGATGGAAAGTAGAAGAAGAAGAAGGAGGAGGAGGAGGAAGAAAAAGATGGAGGAAAGAAGAAGGAGGAGGAAGAAAAAGAATAAGGAGGAGGAGAAGAAGGAGGAGGAGAAAGAAGAAGGAGGAAGAAGAAGAAAAGGTGGAAGAAGAAGAAGAAGAAGAAAAAAAAAGGTGGAAGAAGAAGAAGAAAATAGGTGGAAGAAGAAGAAGAAGAAGAAGATGGAGGAGGAGGAGTAAGAAGGAGGAGGAAGAAGGAGGAGGAGGAAGAAAAAGAATAAGGAGGAGGAGAAGAAGGAGGAGGAGAAAGAAGAAGGAGGAAGAAGAAGAAAAGGTGGAAGAAGAAGAAGAAGAAGAAGAAGAAGAAGAAGAAGAAGAAACGTGACACAACGGGAACCAAAGAAATACAACGATCGACAGAAGATTGGACCGCAAATTCAATGGAATATGTAACAAAATTACAGGGCGCCAAACGTTAAAAAAAATGCTATTAACATCACCTTGAATCAGTAAAAAAAAAGCATTATCATACTTTGCGATTTTACTATTCATGTATCTTTTTCTATGCACCGTGTCCCTTCAGGATGTTGGAAATCATGGCTCTCCACAATTTCCTGTCCTTTGTAGATCATAATAAATTTTGTCTTTTTCTTATCTCATAAGCCTTGTTCTACCTCAAGCACATTAGGTGGTTTATGCATTGTTTTCTCTGTCCCTCTTGACCTCAATCTGCCCTGTGAGTATACAATTTTCCAAGCCCTCTTTCCTCATTATGTACTCTAGAATTTTCAACTGCCCCTTTCTAATGTTAAGTATAAGTGTCCTTTTGTTTCCATTTTGTCTAAAACTTCATCGTTGCTTACATGTTTGGTCTATGCTATTCTCAGCATCTTTCTGTAGAAACACATTTCTGTTGCTTCAATTCTCTTCGTTTATGAAAAGATTGTCCAGCATTCACTGCCATATAGGAGAAATGATATGTAATTTATAAGGAAAGGAGGTAAAATGAAAAGATTTGAAATTGACAACTTTTCCATTTCACTGAAGCAACCATTAAACACTTCTATCTTCCTTTCATTTTCTCACTGAAACCAAGTAGCGTCTTTAATATATCTTTTGTCTTCTCACGCGATCAAAACGGAAAAGTGCATTATTTATTAGATATTAGCAGGAAACGTTAAACACTTCTAGCTTTCTCTTTTCCTTCTTTCTTTTTTTCACTCAAACCAAGTAGCTTTTTTTATATGTATTTTATCTTTCCACGCGATCAAAATTGAATGGTCCATTATTTATGAGGTACTGACAGGGCGTAATGGTCATTAGAACTAAGGAAGGGAGAGACAGGCACAATTATTATATGATTCTGTGATACTACAATAAGTATGGCTCTCATGGCTTCTAATCTTAACTGATTGGAGTTATTAATATGTATATGTTTTCTATTGGTGAATTCTATATGGGCTACAGTAAATATCCCTTCAGTATCACAGATTTACCGCTCAATTACCTGACTATAACCAGTTGGTTATGTGTACTAATCCATGTCTGTTCATGAGCGGGAGTTAGAGAGCATCATGATCGGATGGGATTCAGTCAAGGCGAATTGGGGGTCAGATATCCATACTTGAGAATTTCCTCAATTGGTGACCGACTGGGTGAACCGAGTTGCCCAACCTGAAGTATTTCTAACCGGGTGGAACTTGCAAGGTGTTGCCCATTTGACTGATGCAGGCCTGTTATAGCCTTATGAGACAGAATGACGTTATGAGTATATAGGTATTTGTATATTTGTGCCATATTGCCACTGCACTGATGTGCTGTTCCCTCACTGAATAATAATGAATGAATTAATTAATTAATTAATTATTAAGGATAGCACTTTGCTCTATTTCTCCACTACCAAGGGAATTTAAAATACAAGATTTCCACGGTACATAGGTTCGTTCGAGAAAGATGTTATCTTGATTATTCTCTGTACAATAATTAATGCTTGACTGCAGAAATCCTAAAGTCACTCAACCAGAGACTGCCGATATATATATATATATATATATATATATATATATATATATATATATACTCGACTCTCCCGCCGAATTCGACGTATGAGGGTCAAGCAGATCAGTTCCCAGGAAACCGACAGCCCGACAACGGTACATGAGATTTGATTATAGTGGTGAAGGTTTCGTGCAGGAGCAGCCACACTTTTTGAAGGGCCGAATACAGAGACCTGGTGCACGACGTGCCACAAGGTCCCCAAATGACCCTCCACAGGTTTTGAATTCATAGTTTTCCTTCTCCTAGAACAGTTGCCATCCAAGGCTATAGAACCCAGTCTGTCCTGCTATTTACCAATAGCTGGAGGGAGAAGAAGAGGATTCATACCTTTCCCAAGGGTATTAGCATGTAAGTGAACGTAATGGATTCGACTGGAATTCGAACTCGGCTCTCCGATTCCTCAATCCAAACCGATAACCATTACTCCACTGTGTCTGTGTCTCTGTGTCTCTGTCTGTCTGTCTGTCTGTCTGTCTGTGTGTGTGTGTGTGTGTGTGTGTGTGTGTGTGTATATATATATATATATATATATATATATATATATATATATATATATATATATATATATATATATATATATATATATATATATATATATATATATATATATAAGAGGAAAACTATTCTTTTGCCGATGCGTTTCGTCCTCTACGGCAAATGTAGAATTTATTTTGTTGCGCATGTTTATATACAAAAAGCAAGGATGTCATTACTACTTTTCTACAAGACCGCGTAAAATTTTTGAACAATGTCAAGGCTCAATAGAAAGGGTTGGGCAGCTCCAGCCCAGATATGGGGGAAATACTCCAGTTTTGGTCTGATCTGACTCTTATAAAGATAACGCATGGTAGGACACTATTTACATTATTCGCACTATTGTCCTCATCTTTGTCGCCATATTTATTACAACGTTTCGGCCGTTGTACGCTCCGGCCTTCTTCAGGTGATTGGAATGTCGAACTGAACCCTTTATTTCGCTCACTGGGGTAGACTGTTCTAGTTCCGCGTGTCATATTTTTAATGGATGTCAGTTTTTAGTTATTTCCTGTTAATTCCCCTCTCCACTGCTTTAACCGGGTATTGAACTCACACTCTTTGGGTCCTGTCACTGGATCTAACCAACGCCTTTATTTATTGTGCCATGTGTCCTTTGGCGACAAAGATGAGGACAATAGTCCGAATAATGTAAATAATGTATATAATACCTCATCTCAGAAATATAGACAGATACACATGATAGGAGTTAAGTACTTTCTGGTACGCTCCAAGAAGTCGTCCATTTCTCCAGAATCTTTAACTAATATATATTAGTTCCATTTGAAGTATAGATTTAGCTTTGTATTTACGCGTTACACTTGAGATCTAGTGTGTGCTTGTCCCAGAAGACGTTCAAGGCATGGAGCCTCATTGAGAATACAACCGTTCATCAGGACTGGCGAAAATTTAGAATCTGCTCAATCACGATGAAGTTTGATCTTAACAGGTGATTCAGGTAGGTTTTGGGGCGGTTCAACGGACCAACTACTTTTCAGCTGCTTAAGCGATGGGTCCTATATAGGCGTTACACCTAAGGTCTGGAGTGAGCCTGAGTTCTAGACGTTCAAAACAAGGAGCCTCATTTAGAGAACAACTGTTCATCAGAAGTGGAGAAAATTTAGGTTTTGCTTGGTGACGGTGAAATTTTAGTAACTTCTTTATTTTTTTAATCATCTCATCTCAAGCAAGGCGACAATGCCACTGAAATAGAAGGTGCTACTTGGAATGAAAGAAAATGAGAAGACGTTAGTGAAGAGAAAGGACAATAAAAGAACAGGTTTCAGGAAGAGAGAAGATGGTGATAATGCCACTAAGACACGAGGGATTACTGGGAGTGAAAGAGAATGAGAAGACTTTAGTGAAGACAAAGGACAATAAAAGAACTGACCAAAACATTATGAGTATAACAACCAAAAATTAGCATGTTAGACCGACCTTTTTAGTGTCACATCCTTTCAAGACATAGTAGATCATGACTTGCTTTTCTTCATTATTTGAGAATTATCATGCCTTCTTGAGAAAGGTACTGTTTTTCCCGTAACCTTCTCCACAGTTTCGAATTTAAACTTTTCTTTCTCTCAGGTTAGAGATCCCAGTCTACTCTCCTATTTAACCCATAACCTGTAGGCAGTAGAGACGGATATATGCCTTCACCAAGTGCGTTAGTTCAAAAGTGAATTCAAAAGACTAACCCAGAATTTAAACCAGGTTTACAGGTCCGACTTTCGGCGCCTATATCCGTTACACTAGAAGCATATCCCGGGTCCAAATAGCAAAGAATGTAATATAATTACTTATCACACAGGACCGGATTAAAATCGTATAAAACTAACTACCGTTTATTTACTTACTGTTTTCATGCTCCGTTTCCTCTCTACCATTGTTTCAAATCGATAATATATGAAGAGGCTTAACCTGTTTTGACTCACAACGGCAGTTTATTATTACATCGCTCTTCTAAACGTCAGCCGAGTGCTGCACGTACGTGTCTGCTCAGACTGTAACCAGCCATTTAAATACCTTGAAAAACGGCAGCACAGCCTTGATGTAACTTGGCAACCAATCAGAAGTGAGTTTACTACGCATGCGTGAACAGGCATTTTTCCATGGAGCTACTCAGTCGGCATTGACTGTTTTATTCACAATGATCGAGTGAGTAGTCTTCTTGCAGTCTTTTACAAATTATCAAATCACTCCGCTACGACTACGCTTTTCCTAAAGCTAAAATCGTTGTGAATGAGTTCATAGAGAACGCAATTGGGCAACTGATGGAAAATAAAAGGTGGGCATGGATAAGTCCTACGGGGAATACTTTTAAGAGGACCCATGTGCCATTACCCTAGTTGAGCTACTTTTTTTACCGCTAACATTAAATGGCTGGATACTTTCCGTACAAACCTCATGAAACAAATTTGTTAATAGTCGCCCTGTTGTTTTACACCGGGAAATAAATGCGAGCTTCTATCTGCAAATGAATATATACGTGTAAAAAATATATTTTGTAAGGCTGCTGTATACATTTAGGATTATGATAGATAGATAGATAGATAGATAGATAGATAGATAGATAGATAGATAGATAGATAGATAGATAAAAACAGATTGATATATAGATATGAACAAAGATAAATAGATAGAACAAAGATAGACTGATATATACAAAGATAAATAGATAGATAGATAAGAACAGACTGAGACATAGATAGATAGATAGATAGATAGATAGAGCGTTCAGATTAACAGCTAATCTAAAAAATTATTTACATTCTATTGTGAACTTGAGCAATGAATGGCTTGTTAATTTGAATGCCCGCAAAACGAAACTGATCACTTTTAAACGTCAGAGAGAATACTTTTTACCTTCCATCAACATGGCTGATGCTGACTTCCAGAAGAGTGATTCATTGCGCCTCTGCGGACCAATGTTTTTCGATGACATGAAGTGGAATGATTATATTGAATCAATTGCAACGTCTACAGCTAGGAAAGTTTGTTCACTATGTTCAGCTAGACAATTTTTCTTGCCATAATCTATCTTACATATTTATAAGTCTACCATTCGCCCTTGCTTTGAATATTGCTTCCACATCTGGTCTGGTGCTCCTGCTATTTAGAGATTCTTGATAAAATCCAAAGAAGAATCTGCAATGTTATTGGTCCTAACCTGGCATCTCTACTTCAGTCACTTTCTCACCACTGTAATGTAGCTTCCCTGTGCTTCTTCTCTATATACTTCCATGGTAATTATTCTGGTGAACCTTCCGTTATGAATTTAAGCGCAGTACTAGATTGGCAGCAAGGTCTCATCATTTTACAGTTGAATTGGCTTGATGTAACCGTAAGTTCTATGCTAATAGTTTCTTCTATCACACTTCCCGCTTACGGAACTTTCTTTCGGCTTCTTGCTTCCCAGTCAACTTTGATCTTCAAAAATTGAAATGTAGTGTCAATCGTTATCTATTGTCTTTTTAATTCTTATCCTTTTATTGTTCTCTCTCATTAATAGTTTGTTTTTTTTTTCATATTCTCTAACACTCAGTATCCCCATGTGCCTTATTGGCTTGTGTAGGAATGATTGAGAAAAAGATAATTCATAGATAGATAGATTATGAGGCTGGATCAATATATTTGTAACCTGTCACGCAGTTATTCGCTGAATCTTGATTTGAAATTTTCAATATATAATCTATAATGTTAGTGATTAGTATTCATCACTAGATCAGGGGCAATGACAAGCAAGCAGATTGTGTTGAAAAATAAATATTCGTTGTATATAATAGAGGCATTTTCATCCTTAGATTGGAAATTTATTGATTTACTTCAGTATGTGCAAAATCCAAGTTTCGTTAAAAGCTAAACCGTTATTTCGACTCCATTTTTTAGCGAGTGGAAGGTAGTCCCCGAAGAATATTGTGAAAAAAAAGCAACAATAAAGCGAATAAATCACGTAAAAAATTACAAAGGAAAATAGATCTTAGAATTAAAACAATTAAACCTTCCCGATCATCTTCCTATCTGTCTATGGTTTTTTTTTTTCATGTCGATTTCATTCAGTTTGATTTTTTTGTATCTTAAACATTTGGCTTTCATAGCTGAACTGGCGAAAGCGCCGTCGATATAAGACTATTGTGAGTTGCAAGTTCATGTTTGATTGGAAGCCATTTATTTGTTTCCCCTTAACTCGACTCACTTTAACTATCATAGAGTTTTCGACTGACAAGATTGTGATCAGAATCTAACAACAATAAGATGAAGAAAACTAGTTAAAGATTTTAAAACCTACTGAACCCTTGATGCTTATTCACGGTTTAAGAATTTATGGATTACGTCCTGTTCTAGTCTTGGCTATGACTGCATGGGAACAAAAGCTGTCATCGAGTGAAATTATCTAACTCCTCTATCTTGGACAAAAATAACGCCGTTATGAATCGACATAAAGTAATTCCTCGTTCACCTGCGTCGAAATGGTAAGATATGGATTTTCTGAATTTTTTTCTGCGAGTACCTCGATTTGCTTTTAAAAATACCTCAATTTTCCGGACTTTATTTCGGATATCGATATTTAATCGTGCTGATAAAAAATATGGCGCCAGTTTGTTTACATTGCGCAGATCATTACGAAAATGTCAGTGATTGTGCAGCTCAGTGTTGCCAACATTGTGTGAAAATTTTGTGTGAATTGATTGAACGGTTTTTGAAATATTAGAAAAAAGTTATCTCGATAATAATTTGGCACGCAGTGTATATATATATATATATATATATATATATATATATATATATATATATATATATATATATATATGGCCTAAAGATTGCTTTCACACCTTAAAACAGGTTGTCGTCATTCGGTGTTGATCTCAGCGTTCACTTTTATATTACACCCACGCTCTATCCCTTTATATTGAGCACTTTTAACCATAAATATCCTATTCTTATTCTTCTTGTCCCATAACCCGCTTAAGTTATCAGGGCTTGTGATCAAAGTTGACTGGAAAGCAAGAAGCCATAAAACCGCGAAGAAAACAGAAAATAAAATTTGTCTCAAACCCATCCTCTCTAAATTGGTCACCGCACTACACCGGAAGTAGTTTGGTCACAAATCCGTTTCTACAGCTAATCTCGCTGTTAAAAATTACCATTTCGACGCAGGTGATTCCTTCGTGTGGGTCCTTTCACGAATGAGAACTCTCCCAGACCGAAAAAGGAGCATCAGTCGATTTTGCGTCGAATTAGACTAGCAGTTTATTAAATGCATCTGGAATAAAACGAGACAGGTGTTCGAACGACATCAGAGAAAATAGAAAACATGGGTCGTATGAATAGTTTTGTTAATGTTTCAAAGTGCGTGAATTGGGAAAAGGCATGAATCCACCTTTTCAACCGCTAGCTATGGATTAATTTGTAAGACTTGTGACACTAAACCATTATTATCACAAAAGCAAAAAAAAATGTTAACTATTTTCTGGCTTTAAATAACCAGCAAAGAGTTGATAAACCATAGAAAACGAATCAATCAAATCAGATATTAATTCCTGTCTCCTTAACTATCAAAGATAATGTCTTTCCCGATACAAAATTGCAGACAAAAAACTTATCGACCGTGCAAAATTAATGTGTTCCTCGGCAACAATATTCTGTAAAGAACTGTTTAATATTAAACAAACATTTAGTCACAATGGCTTTGCTAATCGCATCGTCGATAAAATTAATTTTCCAAACGATTAATCATAATCACATAATTAAGATTGTTCTCGTTCCACTGCCCATGTCTCGGGATATCTCGTCCTGTTCCTAATTGCTATTGCTCAGTCACTGCTCGCCCCGTTCCTACTGAGGCTTACGGTCATATAGCGTTGAAACACCGGTTCCCGTACGATCACCGAAGTTAAGCAACGTCGAGCCTGGTCAGCCCCTAGATGGATGACCGCTTGGGAATATCAGGTACTGTAAGCTTGGATGTGCCGGTGGTATAATGGATACTGGCTCAGGGAGTCGAGTTCCAATTTCAGTGGGTTCGTTATATTCACTTACGCCCCTTATGCCATTGGGAAAGGCATGAATCCACTTCTTCTGCCCCCCATTATGGATTAATTAGTAAGACTTGTATCACTAAATCATTATTATCTTCAAAAAATTCTAGCTTTAAATAAACTTCAAAGGGTTGGTAAGCCGTAGAAAACGAATCAACCAATCTTTTCCACCGAGTTCAAGTTCAAACGCTGCCCGGCCAATTACTGCTGCTGCTTGTCACACTTGACTGAGTGCACTCAAGAGAGGCAAGTAGCAGTAGCAGCAGCAGCATTGAGGCTGCTGTTGAATATGTTTCTAAGATCGCTGCCTACTGGTTTCCGAACTCACACAGTGCAAACAGGATGAACAATAACTGAGTAGTACTAAATAGGAAGTTGAAGAGATATCCCTGGATATGAGCAGTGAATTGAGAACACCATGCCTCTGTAGATTAAATAAAGGGTTACCCGGATCGCCAAACAGCTGATGAAGGCTGATTCATAATTTCGTGCCGATAACACACGCGCTACCCACATATATATTTTACATTTGTAATAAACAATTTTCACCTTCTTATACTATGATCAGCGAAAACATCTGAATGTAAATTATTGCGAGGAAAAGTATATATATATATATATATATATATATATATATATATATATAGTCAAACCTAGAGTTTTGCCTGACTCTCTAGGTTTGACTAGGTCTGCTCTACTTTTGTATTGAGCACTTTTTTAGTTAGTTGATTACTCGTATCAGGTTTTTTTTCTTTGGGCTTTGGACCTGTATGCTGTACGATTATTTACGACTGACGTTCATGTTCCTAGCTCTTTCTTGTTTTAAAACCTTTTTTCCTTCGAAATTGATTTGATCATTAGCAAATCAAGAAACATAAGGTTTTCCGAGACGAGTGTAGTTACCTCTCTCTCTCTCTCTCTCTCTCTCTCTCTCTCTCTCGATATATATATATATATATATATTAACACTATATAGATGTGAGTTTGTGACCCTGGGTTTCACGCTTTAGCGATCGCCAGTTTATTAACACTATATATATATATATATATATATATATATATATATTCACTATATATATATATATATATATATATATATTCACTATATATATTCACTATAGGCAAAAGGTTTGGGGACACCTTAAATTGAGATATTTCTCCATTTTTTTTAAAGTAAAAGACACATTTTCTATAACTACAAAGTATTTGCTTTTACTTTTTACGGGTTTATGTCTCATAGTGCCGAAGTGTGTGTTTAATACCAGAAGAGGGTCGCATGCGAGTGTATCAAATGTCTATTTGGGAAAATATAATCCTGTTCGTGTATTAATCTCTCATTTACTTAAATATTTGTATCTATAAAAAGAATGTATAAACATAAAAATGTCTTTAAATAATTGTCGGACTTTGTCCATTTCATAATGTGTGACGTCATTTGATTACATTTGATACGCTATGAACAGATATGAATGTACGTGAGAGATTCATGGAAAATTGAAGTTTATAAGCAGTAAATTCCACCTTGCTAACCGAGTGATACTTTGTGGCCGAGCGGTAAGGCACGTCAGGCTATATGATGGTTCCGTATATGATACAGGTTCGAATCCTGTCGAAGGTGAATATTTTCTATGAAAATTTCTCGGACATTCAGGTCGATAAATGTTATTTAATACTGTTTATTATAAACAGAGCATTTACTTAAATACTTGTATCTATAAAAAGAATGTTAAACATAAAAATGCCAATAAATAAATATATATAGAGAGAGAGTGAATGATTTAACCAGAGCCAGATTTAGACAGACTAAAGTCCTCAGGGAACATCTAGAGGCCTTATTTAAAACATCCACCTCTTTCTACACCCCGTAGCCTGTCGAGCTTATGCTTATATCCGGTACCAATCAATACTACAAAGTCATGAATAATTAAATCTACAGATATTGCGCGAGAGATATTTATTTTTGCATTTTTCCCACCACCACCACCACCGAAAACTGTAGCTTAAGATGCCTGCAGACTGAGCCTCTTAATTAAACAAATTATTATTGACTGCTTTACAGTAGAATTTGTTATTTAGAGATCTAAACAAATCTGACAGCGACTGAATCATACAAACGAATGATTTTTATATCAATTAATTGCTGTTGATTTGACTGGCACAAAGAGAATGGCGTCATATTATAATTTAAAACTCTTTTACCCTCTCCTACATTGATTTGCCATTATCTTTATTTCTAGAAAGGTAACCACCTCATATTTTATAGGGTGATAAGATAGCAAAAGTCTATGATATTGACCTATCTTTCAACATATATCCTGCAGACAACAACACCCGCCATCTTTAATTCGAACAAAAATTCTGCATAAAAAGTTATAACGACTTACAAGAATTTAAATTTTGTTATGTTCTTTTTTATATTAATGTTTACCTAATACAAGTCCCACGAGCCACTCAACGTATAGGCTTACAGTGTGGTGTTGTATGAGCATATGAGAAGGCAAGATATGACGTCCATTTTGGGCTATGCAGGAAGGATAAAGGTTAAATCTATACTTGAAATGGTCAAGATTGTAGTAATTGGGAAAACCGTCCTGCCGTGAGTCTGTTCCACAAAGCAGCAGTTTTTGGTGAGAAGCTGTCCGAATAGAACTTGCCAACGTAATCCGAAGGGAATGGGCGTGGTCACCTTTGTGTACGTGGAATGGCAAGTCCCAGTTGTAAAGCTCAAGGGTGGTGGGTCTAAGGAATGTAGCTTGTCAGAATACATACCATGGAAGTAGCAATAGAACAGCGAAAGACTTGTAACGTTTTGTCTGTCTAAAAAAATGGATGTAGAGTGGAAAATAATTAATCACCCGCAAGGCCACGTCGCTACTTCTCTGAACAATCATAAATAAATCTTTATAACCAATTAGAAAGAAATTTCACTGTCCAAACCATAAACAGTTCGTTAAAAATAAAAATTTAAATATTACCAGTAGAGTAGTTGTTTCCTCTTTAACCCTTGAACCCTAACCATCAGTTAAAGTTACACCACTACTAACCATGGGTATATCATACCCGATTTTCAAAACATCAAAAAAAATATTGAATATAAATCTTTATTTGAAATATTTTACATGCAGGCACTTCAAACTTTGTACTTTAAGTTAACATTAAGAGGAACTGAAAAACATTATTTAGGTAAGAAAATCAGGTACTGAAAATTGTAATTAAAAATAGGAAAATTTGCGCTGGGTACTATATACTAGTGTTTATATATTAGTGTTCTAGGGTTAATGACACTTCTTCTTTTTGTGCTTTGTCACTTCAGGATCAGGGTTCTCCACAGATTCTTTTTCCAAACAACTTTTGTCCTCTTACCATCCTTTTCAGTCTTTGCTCTACCATCGATTTAGATAAGTTCATTAGATTATTCGCTGCTCTCCTCGGCCTCTCTGGTCTTCAGTATATCATGTGAGTGTTAAATTTTCCAAGTCCTCCTTCCTTATTATGTGTTGTGGGGCTCTCGCCTTTTTACATAAGATGGACTCGTCCAAAGTATACTTATACTGGCAGAGAGAACACCTGCGGTTGAGATACGCTGAGATACAGTCTCTGACTGTGTGCGACGTCTGTCGAACTCTCTGCTTTGGCAGAGAGGAACCCGGTCGAAGCTTTGCCGAAGGGCAAAGTTTCGTCCGGGGAGGTAGACAGTTTCCGAAGCCGCTTATGCGGGTTCAAAGGGGATTTTTTTGGCTAAGCCTACGGGCTCGGAGAAACCTACGTTAAACTCGGCCTTGTGCCACATACATTCCTCGTGGGTGGACTGTTAAATATCGAGATACGTTGAGATACGTAGAGATGCGTTGAGATACTTGGAGATACGTGGAGATACGTTGAGACAGGTTGAGAGATACGGAGACAGACACAGGGTGTTCTCAGAGAGTTATACAAGAGTCCAGAGAGAGAGAGAGAGAGAGAGAGAGATGATTACGGCTTTACTTACAGAGACTTGTACATATACTTTCTACTAACCCGCATTCCTGGACTAGTAATCTTCACTTCAAGTCTGTATTCTTACGTTAATACACTTATTTTTCTATCTCAATTTCTGGCCTTGTTTATTTATTTGTGCAGGATTCCATTCCCGGAATCCACAACATTATGTCCCAGAAATTTCAACTACCTTTTTCTGAAT